CCAAATGAAAATTATATGTAATAGCACACAAGACAATTTTTACAGGAAAATAAAATTGACTCCATCAAGCCCAGCATCCTGTCTCGAGTGGCTAGTACCAGATATTTTACAGATGCAAGAAACCCCTGAAGACATGTCCATTTTTGACTCATAATGATTGTTCCAGAAGATAAATGTTTGTTCCTGGTTATGTTTCACTGTATGATGCAGCCTAGGGTGACACATGACAATGAACAAATGTCTGAAAATGTCTACACTAGAATTTACAATAGTGTCAGTTAATGAGCAAGTAATCAATTAGCAAGAGCTGTAGCATAACAAAAAACTCTATTTAGTTTTCAAACCTCCTGTCACTCAACCAGTGACTGACAAGAAGTTAGAAAACTAACCTCTTAAATTTATAAAACTAACCTCTTATACCTAGGAAACTAACATCTTATATCTCATACTCCTTCTAATTTGTTAATAATCCTATCCAATATAATGTATAAACATCTAATCCTATTTTGAGTTCCTCTGGCTTCTTGGAAACAGTGATGTTTATATGCAATATAAAGAACATTATTCTTTTGTGTTATTCCACTTTGTAAACCATACCTTACAGGAGAGTAAACCATTTTGATGAAAAAGGGAAATTAAAAACTGTATAATTCATGTCCAAAATATAGATCCAAAAATGAATAAAGGAGCCTAAATCTGTCTTCTGCTATATGTAACTGAAGGCAAAATTAGCTCCATTAACTTTAATCTTTAAAGTCCAGTGTATTCTGAACTACACACCCACAGGCAAGATATTTGGAAAGCTCAGTAGAAATAATAGTACATTTTATTTTGAAAGATACCTGACCTGAGAATTGACTGTTAGTCTAACCTCTTCCAGTAAGAAAAACAAAACAGAAGCTTACCTCCTCTAACTAAGGAAGATATATATTATGTATTTGACTATACAACTACGAGAAATATAGATGGGGTAAGTAAATAAATAAATACTTCAATGACCAAAACATGGGAGGAAATAGTAGAGTAGATGCTTAGCTGGCATAAACTGGGAAAGTTCCATTGATGTCACTTGGGCTATATTAGTGCCCTCATTGCCTTCAAATAAATTGAAATATTTATTCTTACAACCAGAGGCAGAGTTACATTACTTTCTATATTTGGGAGACCCATAAACTCATCCCAGGAAAGTTGTATATATTCATTCAAGAGTTTCTAATAATGTTTCATGGTGGTTTTATCTCCCATCCCAATGGGCTGCAGAAAGATCTGTGGTGACAACAGCTCCTTTGATAACTTCACACTCCTTTCACAGACTGGGTCCCATTCTAGGCAACATCTATACTTGCATTTTTTATATGAGACTGAGTCCAAGACCTGATTGTATTAAATCTGACTGGCGTGCGGGGAATCTGCAGCTGTCACAAAAAGGATGGCTATATCAGCTGTTCTTTCACTAGAACTTGCAATATAGCTTCAAAATAGGAAAACACATAAGCTTGGGTCTTTCCCAACAAGACAATGCAGAGTAGAATGTGGGTACTGTCATTATGAGTTATAATCTTCCCTGGTGATTTATTTGTGGGCTTGGATTTTTCCTCATCAGTGGTTTTCAAAAGAGCCAACTCTGACACTCCAGTTGACCAATATAAAGCCAAAAGCTTAAAAAAAAAATAGGAGTTAAGTCTCTCATACTACAGGAGTGACTGTCAACTAGCAAACCATTGAAATCCCAAAATGATTCATCTTAAAGGATAATAATGTTGCTTAGCAGTCAAATTTGCATGCCACATTACCTTATTCTGGTTACCCTCATGAAAAAAGAGACCAGGGTCAAAGCATATATATTAACAGTGTGTTACCTTTTGTTCAGATAGATATTCACTAGGGATTTAGAAATACCAGTCCTCATCTAGAGTAAATCTGCTTAGCTCTCCTGAAATCAATGGAGCTATGTTGATTTATACCAGCTGAGGATCTGGCCCTTAATTCCCAGAATTATGATTGCTTTGCTGTGATTTATAGCCCTGGACATACTCCCTGTGCATTTTGTTTTTTCTTGATTTGTTGTCTTTTAAAATACATATGAAGAATTCAATGCAGTGTTTCCAAAAAACTTGCTGTTTGGTAGATTCACTATTGAAGATTTCTTAAAACAACTTTAAATCATGAAACTATTTGCAGATTTTATCTTCTAAAGTGAGGCAAGTTTATACCAGATTGATTTAAACTGAAATAAACTTTAGCCTCTCCAATACCCATTTCATAGCTAATGGCGGAAGGTTTATCTTTTGTCAGAAAGTTGGACAAATATCTTTCAAAATAGGTACCTTTAGATAGTCCAGATTTAGATTCCTTACAACCCACCTTTACTTCCTCTAGTAAAATTTTCTTGGAGGTTCTGGAAGATGGTGAGAAGCTGGCCCACATGCTGAAAAAAATAAAAAATAAAAGTTCTTCTTTTGAAGGACTTTGGCATTAAATGTATAGTTCACACATGCTAACTACTTAGCACATAATTGTACCCTGATATCTGAAAGTTTAGGGTGAGAACCGCTTCCAATGTTCCATTCCACAAGGACCTGCAAAAATGAATTGTTCTGCTGAGCATCAAACACTGGCTAAACTGTGAGGATGGTTCCTCTTCAGGTAACATTGCTTGCGTGGGCCTAGAGAAAGGGCAGAACTTGCACTGGAGTTATTGTACATGCTGTTCCCCAGCTAGATCTGGAGGCTTGTGGGACAAATGCCTGCCTTAGAAAACACCTGTAATTATGATGGGGTGCCACTCTCTTTGTTTTCAGCTCAGTGTCTTTTTTTTTTCTGTTCTGTTGCCTGGAGCAGGAGGACATTGGGCAGCCTAGGAGGAGGAAGTCTGAGAGTGGTCATGTATCATTTTCCAAATGCTATGCCTGATAAAGTGACCATCATCTAAGAGCCCTGTTTAGGTTGAAGGGGAAACAGTCACCATTTCCATGAGCTGGAGGAAGACAGTTAGGCTGGATGTAGTGTCTGAAATGGAGAAGAATGTGCAAAGGAGGATTTAGTCCTATCATCTGACCCTGGGTGCTCAGTCAAAAAGTAATTTATAATGCAATATAAATTCCATTTATAAGAGGTTTGAATGTCTTCTTCTACACCTGTGGATGTGCTGCTCTTCCTAACTGGACAAACTAAAAGAAGAAAGTGATCATAAAAATAACATGAGCTTTGTGTGTGTGTGTGTGTGTGTGTGTGTGTGTGTGTGTGTGTGTGTGTGTGTGTATGTTTTTGTGTGGAAAAGAAAGTGAGCATGAACACATGTGCTTGTTTCTTTTTATGGGGCTTTAGAGTCAAAATCAAAACCATCCCCAGCTGTTCCTTATAATTAAATTTTAGTAACTCAAGCTGGGTGTTTTTATTTTGAATAGTGACTTTAAAATGTTAGCATTTAAATGGCCTCATCTATATTTCAAAGTTAACATCAGGAAACTTCACACATTTTTAGTGGTGTTTGCTGGCAAACTCAACTAAATACCGATATAACTATGAAGATATGTGAGGCTTAAAAAGCATAGAGCTTTATACACTCATGTGATTTTAAATCTAGGTGAATACAACAAAATCCATAGGTCCTGATCCCACAATCTGATTCACAGAGACAGACCTATTAACCCGTGCAGAGCCTTACTAACTCCAAATGGATGAAGAGATTTGATTGTGGGCTTAAAGTCTTAATTTGTGGTATTTCATAGGATTGTTTTGACACTGTCTGCACTTCCTTCTGACTTCATCACAAGCCACTGATGCAAGTTTGTACCACATCACCTTTTTGCGAGCAGTTTGCAATAACTGTACTATCCTTTTTTCATTCACAATAACTTAATTCAGCTATTTTAATAGTTCAAAATACAGATAAAAATAATATGAGAACTATTTCCCCACAGGATGAAATGACTATTTATGCATTTCTCTTTGTTGAAGCCAAAAGCTGCAAAAAGTTGAATCTCTTTCCTTAAGCATCTTTAAAGGCACGGTTGGAAAGAAAAGAAGGTTGCATGAGTTGCTGCCTGTAGCTCTGAAATGCAAGTTTAAGTGTGGTGGTATAACTATGGATTGGAATAAAACACCACTTTTGCAGACTGAAACTCCAGGATAAGATGACACAGTAATTTCTTGAAGATTTTGCTATCATTCTGCTTCCTGCCTCCATCAATTCCTGGCTGTATGGGATCCCATCATGTATCAGCACTGGGCCGGTGCACATCTTGGGTGGAGAAAGAAAAAAAGACACTCTTGAGAGTCTATGGTATGTTTCACTATGGCCCAGATTCAAAAGTTTTCTCTCTCATTTTTATCAGGAACCTCAATGGTGAAGCTTCACAGAGCCTGGATGAGATTCCTTCTCCCTAACCACCCTCCACTGTATGGGATCCCATCATGTATCAGCACTGGGCCGGTGCACATCTTGGGTGGAGAAAGAAAAAAAGACACTCTTGAGAGTCTATGGTATGTTTCACTATGGCCCAGATTCAAAAGTTTTCTCTCTCATTTTTATCAGGAACCTCAATGGTGAAGCTTCACAGAGCCTGGATGAGATTCCTTCTCCCTAACCACCCTCCATC